CTACCACACTGATCTTGAGTTTTATGGTTCTATTGCTTTTCTTTTGACAAGACTCGTGTAACGGCACTGTGAACCTATGGCTAATAGAGAGTTTAGGGTGACAACTTTTGAAATCTCAAAAGAAAGCTTTCAATCGGGGAATGAATGTAGTAATCTGTCTAGAAGAACTGTCTAAGATTTTTGGACAAGGTTTCTAATTTCTTCTTCCTTCTAACAACGGATTGACATGTCTGCAGCTCAAAACTAGAAGGAAGGTCCTTAAATTGCAGACTCTCAGACAAGGTATGTTGCTTTCATCCTACCGCTTCTTCATAAATGGATCTGGGACGTGTTTGAAACATCCGTGAAATCATTTTTCAGGCAAGTCACCAGTTGAGGACATGGTTTGAAGATAACGATGCATTGGAGCAGACTATTATTGGAGAGTGCGTATCATAGTTTTATATTTGTGAACACCAGCATATTGTTTGACATTTTATTAAACAGTATAGGCTCTTATATTTATTATCTAATCTGTTTTGCAGCTGGTACTTGTTGCCCGTTGGAAACGAAGCAGTTACCTCACAACCAACTTGTTTAAGTAGGGATGAGAACAAAACTTTCATGATTGGGTATGTATTTACTCAAAATAAGCTTGTTTTATACAACTGTGTTCCTTTTAAATGGACTTTGTGTTTTCATTTTTTCGGTTTTCGGGAAATGGGTGTTGGAAACCAGGGTAAACAGCTAACTGATTGGGTTGGGGGGGGGCTTTTCTAATAGAAATTTATGTCTGCTGCTGTGTAATGGTCATCGCAGGAGTGAAAAGAGCGATAAATTTCCAGAAACGTCGATAGTGATACTTTCGGAGCAGGTGATCTTCTATTGTTTAAGAACCCTGATCTGGAGCTAACATAGTTTCCTCACTTGTGTAACAATTTCATGCTGAACATTTTTTCGCTAAATCTCTCTCAGGTATCCAAAATGCATGCTCAAATCAACTATAAAAATGGTGCATTTTTCATAGTTGATTTGCAGAGCGAGCATGGGACCTTTATAGAGTAAGTTAATGAGAAGCAAGGAAACATCTTTATATATATACATGTTAAATTTCATGGAGTTTCTCTAAAACAAACTCTGGATTTGCAGCCATGGAGGAAGAAGATCGAGGGTGCCCCCAAATGTTCCTACTCGTCTTCGTCCCTATGATGTTATCGAATTCGGTTCCGATCACAAGGTAATAACTAATATTAATCTATGAATTTACGTTCTACCACTCTTTCCCCCTACTTGAACCTCATCTTACATCCCGACCAATGTTCAGGCAGCGGTCCGAGTGAAGGTGATGAGATCACATCCGAAGATGGCTGAAAAGGAAGCTGGTGGAATTCTTCAGGCAGTCTGAAAATTCATAAACATGTCATTTTCCGAAATCATGACCTTGTACAGCATTTATTTACAGTGATGGAGTGATTGAAAAATCAACTACATTTTTAATAAAGTTACACAAAGAAGCCATATACATCTATCTCAGAACAGAAACTGGAAATTTCAACCGGAATCATCTCATTTATATTAAGAATGAATATGTGAACATTTGATGGTAGATTTTAGATACGATGTAAATTGCCTGGGAAAAGTATGGAAATAATTTACCCGACATTGGTCCCGACTTCATTACAAATTCAGTGAACACTGAACAGTGCTAATGTGAAGGTAAGTGAGGTCACTGTTGGGAAGAATTTTGAGAAATCTCAAAGTTGGAAGGTCCATCCATTTCCATGCAACGTTATCTTCATATCCATCCATCTAATTATATGTGGCACTAAAATCCAGACTAAACTATTTACTGTCTCCTTTTGCTTGACAAAAACTGACGCACATGTTGCCAATCAGAGTCATTCCTTTTCAGAAAGCCCAAAGATAAGACACCATCCCTCATTTCATACCTCTGGAAACACGAGCAACAAGCCAATAGTAGCTTAAATGAGAGCCTAAGCTTAATCAAAATTTAATGATCTTCGACACTAAAATTGAATATATTATAAAATATATAAAATCATGACACAAAAATACGGAAATATCCTGTGCAAACAGATATAATCGAAGGGGGTAAAAGCCCATTTCTCATTCATAAAACCCCATCGTTGTCCCAGTTCTGGAAAAATGGCATTCTCTTTGCATATTATGTGATCAGATCTAGGATAAATATGCATGCACTGTGCACATAATGTCGTTTCTCTTGGGGAAAAAAATATTAAAAAATAGGGTCTAACACGTGAAAGGCTGAAAGCGGTGGGGAACGATGACATGTGAACTTTCTAGCGGTCGGTTCGGGTGGCGGTGGCAGTGACCGTTGGAACATTAAATGTGTGTTCTGATTCACTAACTCACTTGGGATAATTTTTATCATTTTATCACTTGGGATAATATTTATTTTCATTTTTCGTAATAATCAATGTGGTTTTGTCAGATACAAGTATAATAATGTCCAAGAAAATGTAGTGGACAAGTGGGAGAGGTGGCATGATCAAATATTTAATTTACCACTGTCAATTATGAGGTATTCATTTTCGGTCAACACTGATCTGCTTATGTTATTAGGTAAACTACGAATTCAATCACCCATCCATTCTTCTAGTTTCGTTTTGATTTTTAAATATTCTTTTTAGAATTATTTATAATATTAACGTGTAAGTGATATGTATATTAACAAGCAACAACTCGCGATGTGATTGACGTTTGGGTTCAATAATAAAACATTTAAACAAACAAAATTCAAACTATCCCATTCACATCTTATGTACGGACCATTTTGGACCCCGCATCACGTGCCCCCTTTTTCAAATTTCTCTTCCCCCGGCTGAGTCATATGCTTTTCTTCCGTATTTCGTCAAATTTCAACTGAGAAGACAAATTTAGATTATTATTATTATTATTAAATTCCGATACATTATTAATTATATTAATAATATAAATACTGTTGAACTGAAATGAATTAAAATTATTTTGTTAACGAAATGACGATATTCATGTGTTTCTGTTCAAGAAATTGGAACTCAACAACAATTTGTTTTTTGAAAAATAAAAAAATGTTTAATTCTTCAATTTCAAGAATTTGTATTGTATTTGAAAATGATTAAAATCTTTTAAAAATTATATGAGAAGGAAAAAACATTATTTTATTTTACACTCGTTATTCTCTGTTAAAAAATTAACTACCGTCTAAGCTAGATGTAAACTTATTGACTGAGATATAATAAAAATATGATCTTAAAATCGTTTGAGTTATATTTTGTGGGTCGATTTCTTCGTTTACATTATGTCATCAAGTCAGTGCTTGAAACATTATGTCGTCGAGTCAGTTCTTAAAAGCAATGACGGTGCTAGTAAACACCATTAAAATATAATTTTATCATATCTCAGTCAGTAAGTTAACTTCTAGCTTAAACGGACATTAATTTTTTAACGAAAAATGATGAATTTAAAATATATGAATAGTCGAGTGACTATTTTGTAACTTTTAATAATAGGAAAACATAACATTGTATTATAATAGAGAGACCATTTTATAACTTTTAATGATTGAGAAATTCGACAAAATAATATTTTATAATCGATTGACCATTTGTATACTTTACCATTATTTATTGTTTTAATTAAATAAAAATATCATCATAAATATATATTTAAATAATAATTAAAAGTATCTTGAAAGAGGAGATCTTTATCCGAAGTCCAAATATCTACAGTGCTTGTCTTCTAAACTTTTATCAGTTCCAAAAAAAAAAATGAAAAAGATAAATGAAAGCAACAGTTAAAACGAGGGTGTTGGTTGGTGTGAGATCAATTTAGTTCGGTTAAAATTTTTAAATTATTTATTTTTATATTGAATTTAAATTTTGATTCTTTATATATTGTGATAAAATATTTATGAATTTTAACATTATTTATTAAAATTTTTAAAATTTTTAAAATGATTTTTTTTAAAACGTGTGAATTAAATAAATAATTTGAAAAATGTTTATTTTAAATTCAATAATAATATTTTTTAAATTTTAAATCATTAACTTTAAAATATTTTAGTTTAATTTAGTTTAGTTTATTTAATTTATTTCCTCGTGCCTAAGTATTTGAGAGCTTATTAATATTTCAAATCTTATAAGTTTGAATATTCATTTTAATTAATTTTAAAATTTGTCTGAATAGTGGGGCTAATAATAAGGAAACAAGTACACGTGCACTGATGCCGATTTAAGACGCTGACTTAGACCCAGCTCACAAACAAAATATTTCATTGTTAATTCAATAGCATATTTTAACATATGTGTTTTATTTGTATTAATATTTTAATATATTAGACGAGCAAAATGAATCACACAGACACACGCACTATATATATTTGGTTATTATTTTGATTTCAGAGTTCGTCTTAATTAAACCAAACACACTTGATTATTTTGATATGTGATTTTTTTAATTAAGATGGTTTTAACAGGTAAGCTTTTTAATTGAGATTTTATACATATATAAGACCTTAAATTTAAAATATACTTAAATGATATCAAATTACTTACCACTTGAATCAGCTTAGTTGATAATGAATCATATATCTTTAAGTTTAATTTATAATTATCATTTGATTTAACAAGATAAAACATCTATTTAAATTATAAAATTTTAAATAAAACAAATTAAATTTAAAAATTATTTTATAATATTTTTATAACATTATATTTAAATAAATTAATTAATTAAATATTGATAATTATATCAAAATTTTAAATTAAGATGAATAAATATAATAAATTTCTTAGTAATTATATATATTTATATATATATATATAAAGATTACTAAGTAATTATTCGAATTTAAATTAGTACATCAAACTAAATAATTTGAAATATATATATATATATATATATATATACAATAGAAATACAAAACGAAAATAACTATTTTTCTTATGAATTTATTTATATTATGAACAACAATGGCATTTTGACAGTTTTTCTTTTCTTTTTGTTACTACATAGTACAGCACGTTACCCCAAATATTTTTCTAAATTCATTTTTAACCCTAAAGAGAGGAAAACAAACCACGAAGTTTTAGGGTAAATATCTTCTATCAAAACAGGAAAATAAGTTTTCTTAGAAGCTCCATCATGAACTGGTAACTGATTCAGCAAGTTTCTCGATTTTTTCTACGAGCTCCGGGGATAATTTCTTCGCAGGTTTCCTTTCCTTCCCCGGTCGAAAATCAAACCCTAACGCATCCGAAACTTCTTCGGAGCTCCACCCGGCTTTTCTAAGTCTATCCGATAACCGATCCGCTTTTAGAAGAAGTGCATCGAGAACAGCTTGATTATCCAATAAAACCATATCTCCCTCGAAAAACCCGGATGCTGACACGTGCACGATCTCCGTTATGTCGGACTCGCCCCACCCGCCTTTTCGGAGGACTGATCCGATTTGCCCAATGTATTCATCGACCCATTTCGGAGTTTGGGTTATCCGCATATCGATGTATCTATCAGGCGATGAATTTGACGATGATGATGATGACGACGACTTCCTCCGGCGCCGATAAACTGCCGCGTCGCTCCAGAACTCAACCCATCTAGGTGTCCTTGTACACGTTACCAAACCCGCATCCAAACTCCGCCTCGAAAAAATAGTGGACGACCCGGCTGATTTTTCGCCAACGGATCTCTGTTTCTTCAACACTTCCGGGTCGGATCCAGAGCTCTTAAACAAAGATTCCCTTTCGAAAAAATCAGATATATCAAATCCGCAACAGAAGACACGGTTCTCGTCGATGAAGAAAATTGGGTTACCCGCTAGAGAAGGGTTACAGGGAATATAGCAGTGGTTAAAAATGGGAATCAAAAGGGGAGCCCTTTTAAGCGCATTCCTTGCGACTCGTAAAGCCTTTTCTGGGTCGGACGGTCTCGGACCCCACGATTTGGACCAAAAAGTGTTAAGCGCGATCTGGAAGGAAATTGCAGCGATGGGAAGATCAAGCGAAGCCCGGAGATGGACTCTTGCCCCTGCAGATCGCCAATCGGGAAAACCAGGACCCACGGGTAATCCGGCTGATAATATTGCTCGGAGGTCAGGTGGGAAAACGAAACCAAACTCGGCTTCCACTCGGGCGGACTCAACGTCCGACAAACCCGGCTGGACTTGAAAGTCCGAACCCCGTAAATGAGTTATAACTTTATCAGCTAAAGAAGCGAAAGACTGTAGACCGTTGCGAACAGGGTGGGAAGCCGGAGTTGAAGGAGCGGAAGCGCGAGCAGATAGACGGCGTAAGCCAGCTATATGACCCGGATTCAGACCGGACATCCTCCGGTCAACGTCGACCATTGTTGCTCTAATAACTAACGTCTCCTTTTAATTTCCTACAGAAAAAAAATACTCCGTCGGAGAAAAAGGTTTCCGACGACTTACTTTTGTCTGTGTAAACAGAGAAAAGAAGAGTGGAGAGAACTTGATTCTTGGGGTAAAGAACTTTATCAAGTTGAGAAACGGTGCGTATTTATAGCTGTTTTTGAGTTGTTGCTTATATTTTATTTAAATATTATTTTTAGTATAGCTTTTACTTTCTTGTTTAAACGTTTATTTTTTAGGATAAACTATTTATATGACCACTTAACTATTTTTATTGTTCATTTTGATCATTAATCTTGTAATTTTATCAATCACACTATTTAATTATTTAAATTGTTTAATTAAGCCATTTTCCGTTCAAAATTTAATAAAATAGGTGACTTGAATGTTAATCAAATTGGTATAATTATACATTTAATCCTCAATATTTATATATTCTATCAGTTTATTAGATTAAATTAAAATTATGACTAAATTAATATAATATATAAATAATGAGAATTATATGTATAATTATAAAATTTTATTAATAATATATCAACTTTTTTTATTAAAATTTAACGAAAAATGATTTAATTGAACCATTTAAATATTTAAATTATTACTAACAACTAGTTAGTCTAGTGAGATGAGACATTAGATCCCTTAAATAAGGTTAGAGGTTCAAATCTTTGTGTTTGTGAATAGAGTAAATTGGGTTGAGAATGTCGACATCGCCTCTGCAATAGATAATCTGAATTAGTCAATTAATAGATCGAATATTAGTTATCATAAATAAAATTAGATGATTTAATTTACTTACAAATTATCCCAAGTAATCAAATAGGATTTCCTAGTCTAATTAAGTAGGGTGAAACGAAAAAGAGATAAGGCTTTTGTTGTTTTAGGAGTGTTTAAGTTACCTTTAGCCGCTGGTACGGCGAATATGGGGGGACCCATTCTCAATGATAAATTAGCTTGACAGGTTAAATAAAGCCAGGGACAATCATAATTCCACGTTGTGTATACTTCGTACCGTCTAGTTTTGTGTTTATAAAGTGAATTTAGAGTTAAACTTATTTTTTCGACTTAGAAATAATATTAAATATATATATATATATATTTGAAAAACAAGTCTGTTTTAAAATTATATTTTCAGAATAAATGTAAAAATTATAAACTTTATGTTTGAAAAATATTTTTAGTTAAACTTATAATTTTAATATTTATCTTGTTAGCTTATTTTAAAATTTATATTTTATCAATACATAATTATATGATAAATAAATCATCTGTAGATTCACAAATTATATATCTCATAATGCTAATTTTTTAAATAAATATTATTTTAAAATTTATAAATTTCCACGGAATACATATTGCTATTATAAATTTATTTAACAAATTTATATTTTATCAATACATATTGCAATTATAAATTTATTTAACAAATTATATATATATATATATATATATATATATATTATAATTTAACTGGTATATTTCATATAATATAATATTAAAGAATTTAAATATAATTTAAACGTATATTTTTAATTTATAACATCGTATTCAAAATAACAATTATCTTCTCAAGATCACTTTTTTACATTAATACTAAACACTTAAATCTTACACCAAATAATCCAAAAATAATTCTCAAAATAACTTTTTCACCTAATTTTCCAAACAAATGCTAAACTAGCCCTTACTAAGAATCTAAGATTAGTAAACATATTTTTATTCTTCTATATTTATAATAAAACATTGGGGTAAACTATAGTGCTAGTCACTAAACTTAGGCACTTTTACTTTTGTCACTAAACTTTTTAAATTTGTATTCCAATCATTGAATTTTTAATTCATTATAATTATGATCATTGTCATTTGTTGTTGTTAAAAATACTGATATTGCACATTAAAGTATTCTTCCCAGGAAAAAAAATAAGACTCCAAATTTGCAGCCACTACCAAGGCCAAATTTATGATGAATGAAGTAATTGTCGATAAATTCTAACAGTGGAAAGATTTTATTTGACTTGAAGACATTAAATTTCGATCATGGATATTATTCATATAATATATATTATATTATATTACATAATGTACATATTTATTTATTTATTTATTTATGATACAGACCCGATATTACAAGTCCAACAATAGCCCAAGTCAGCCCCAGGCCCAGACCCATGTGCAGATCAGCTCCCTAGGGTTTCCAGGAACCCTAGCGCCGCATGCTCATCCTTCGTGTCAGCGCCGTTTCCAGAACCGAGCCCCCACGCCTCACGAGTCTTCACCATTCACGCCTCTCCTCCGTGCTTCTCGACAACACACCAACAACGTGCACATTTGGAAAACAAGAACCCAGTTTTAGAATTCCATTAGGACTCAAATATATAATCTAAGAATAGGTTTTTTTTTTCCAGTATAAATAAGGGTAATCAAACTCGTTGTGGGGGGACGATTTACACTGGATTCACACACGAGATCACTGTGTAACAACCACTCACACACAATAGCCAAGAAAGTCCAAGCCCTTGTAAAGATCTTCGAGAGAGATAATAAAAAAAAGGTAGCTTTTTACCTTGTTTGTTGTTTTTCGCCTTTGCATGTTGTTATTATTTGATGTTTGGCTTAGAAAAATCCAAAAAAAACATCTTTTGGCCAATGAAAAGATGTTTTCGTTCGAGATCGTTTGTATAGATCTACGAAAACCCGAGGCCTTTTTTTTTTTGAAAAACCAACTTGATTTTCAAAACGAGGAGAAGAAAAGCATTCGGAAAAGTAAAAAAATCTTTTGATTTTGCCGCCGATGAACGGCGGCCGACGCCGTTCAACGGCGGCGGCGAGGCGGCGTAGGGCGGTCGGTTTCTGGATTTTTGAAGAATCTGGCCGTGTTCTTATTTTTTGAAGAACACTTGAGAGTGTTTTCAGAGATGGAAGGAGAGCTTTTGGCGTGGGAAGAGAGAAATGAAGGTTTTGTAAAAATTTTGGCTTAAATACTGAGCCCATGGATCCGAGCGGTGACCCGCGTGTCGACCCAGACCCGGGTAGGATCCGCGTGTTTTCTAATAAAGGTGGTTAAATCCCACTTTTGGTCCCTCACTGTTATAAAAGGCTCAGTTCGACTGTAAATCTGTTTTAATTCAGCCTATGACTTTTGTTTTCTTTTAATTCGAGCATCTAACTCGCGTTTAAATTCAATTTAATCCCTCCGTATTAATATATATATATATTTGCTTGTATTATTACCTATTATTTTATTATACATTTATTACATACGTATATATTTTTTATTCTACTTTCCACTCATTTATATTTATATATACATATATGTTTTTCCTCCCTATTTCCTTTTTCCCTCTAATATTTAATTATTTATCATTATTGTTACTATCAAATATACATATACTTTTATTTATTTTATTTGTCTTACCTAGTATGTGTCACTATTTTATATTTTCTTTGTCTTAACATTTATATAGATATATGCATACTTTACCTTTAGTGTGTTTTCATGCTTCTACCCTTAGCACCTCATTATGTATGTTTACTATTATCCTTTTTTCTTTTCTCCATTTTTCTTTATTTGTTTTTCCTCTTGTATTCGGTTAATTAATCTAACATTTTTTAAGTGTACATCTTCAAATAATCAAAGGTAAGTAATTCAAGATCAAATTTTACCTTTTAATTTAAACTTATATTTTTCTGAATTAAAGACAATTGGAAATTACGTAGTACCGAAAGGGCAGTTCAAGGGTGCTAACTCTTCCTTGACTGTAACCGACTCCCGAATCCGACACATCTTTGGTAAGGCGCAGATCAGGTAAGAAATAAGGTATCCGGTTAACCTATTTATTTTAAAATAAATAATCGGTGGCGACTCCAACCCACATTTTTCTAAGTCGAAGCCCAATTCCGGGATCCAACCGAAAGACGGTTGCGACAGCTTGGCGACTCCGCTGGGGACAGGTAAGTGAGTCAGGCTAAGGTAATTTCCAGTTGTCTTTTTAACGAAAAGGGTAAGTTTAAATTTTAAGGTAATATTTCGATCCTTTTTACTTACTTTTGATTATATTTTCGAGTAAATAGTTGGACTAATCGTTTTCTCATGATTTCAGACTTCAAAGTTTTTTTTCATCTAAGGCTCTATACCCGAGCTCCAATTCCTATTTTAAGTGGGGGTGAAAGCGACGCCTTCGTGTGAATTTATTCACCGTGCGGGCCTAGCAAGTAGCCTTCGGGATTCATATACCTTATGTCTTCGTGTGAATTTATTCACCGTGCGGGCATAAGGGAATGTGTCCCCTCGAGTTTAACTTAGTCCACACAAGCCTGTGATGGGTTTAGGACTAAGGGTCTGGCAAGCCCAAGGGGGCACCGACAAGGAGAACTCGGGTACCGTTTTTTTAAAACCTAAACCGGGAGACCATGAAGAATTAGAGCCTACCCCGAAACCACGTTCCAAAACTTAGGATTTTTTTACCCTAACCATGTTTTTTTTGCGCTTTTTCCTTCCGTCATTTTTTTATTTGTATTTTTATTTTACTAACGTTTTTACCTTTGTGTTTGTTTTCTAGCATTTGCATTATTACAAGAGGCTATTGATCCCTAAAAAGCGTTTGTTATACACAAAATAATTCGAATTAATGGACAAAGGTGTTGTAATACAAGATATTGAAAACACTAAGGCACGACTATGGTCCGAGAAGGCTCAGAAAGAGAAGGGAGACAGTCTTCAGGGAAACTATGTGTCAGAACTGGTTAGTTATGCCGCTGTCAGCCTGAAACAGAATAATGTCCAAGAGCTGCGAAACATTTGGGACAGTTGGAAGAATGACAGAAAGCAGAAGTTCAGCCAACGATATGGTGATGTCGCCCTCTTGCTCCATGTCAAGACTGATGAGCCCTTACTCCGAGCATTAATTCAATTCTGGAACCCGGGATATAGTTGCTTCACCTTTAACCAAGAAGACATGGTGCCTACTATCGAAGAGTATACTACTCTACTGCACTGCGAAAGCATCAAACTAGAGAGGGCATATATTAAACATATCAAGAGTCAGCCCTTCAAGAACGGACTGGCCAAGATTGCAGGGGTTGATGAAAAGTGGGTGACTGATCGACTCCGGCACAAAGGTAGCGGGGAAGGAATCGAGTGGATTCATATAAAGCAACTAATGAAGAACCACCCTGATGAATGGAAGACTATAGATCTTTTTGCACTGGGTCTGTACGGTTTGATCATCTTTCCGAAGGTTTTGGGATGCATTGACGCAGCCGTAGTAGAATTATTTGAACAACTTCCAAGGCGAGTCAACCCAGCACCGAGCATCTTAGCCGAGACCTTTCGATCCCTTAATCATTGCAGAAGAACTGGTGGAGGAAGGTTCATTGGGTGTGTTCAACTCCTTCAAGTCTGGATTCACAGCCACTTCTGGAAGACTAGCGGGGTTGCCTACCATCGATTCAGCACTACCTATTCACCATTAGGAGAGTTCATCACTATGAAATGGCATGAAGGCGCTTCAAAGGAAAAATGGATGAAGGTCTTCACACATCTTCAGGATCGGGATATTACCTGGAGAGCCCCCTGGTTGTTCCTCAGTGACGTTCTTTTCTGATGTGGGGATTCTGACACTATGACCTTACTTGGACTTTGGGGTGCAGTTGGGTATGCTCCTTTGTTGGCACTCAGACAGTATGGGGCACGTCAGTTTGTCCCAACAACTTACGGAGTATCTACATCAGAGTTTATGTATCATGGTGACAGCTATAAGAAAATGATCAAGGAAGTAGCCGAGTCATGGAAGAAAGTATTCCGAATGGATGTCGTGGCTGCTAGAGATATGCTTACTCCGGATTATGTGGAATGGTGAAGATTGAGAAAGAATGATAACATCCCGGTGCCAGACCATGAAGACACCCGGGCCATGGAGGAACATCTCAGGTCTGTCCCTTCTGAACTTGAGATAGCCAAGACAGAGTTTGAAGATGTGAATAACGAGCTGAAGCAGAAGGTAAAGCAACTTGAAGCTGAGCGCTACCAATGGAAGCTAGATGCCGACTCTCAGAAAGATCGAGCAGATAAGTTGGAAAGGGAGCAGAAAAGAGTCCGTTTTGAGCTTGAAGACTTGAGGAAGGGGTACCAAGATAAAGTCAAGGATAACTCCAAGTTGAAAATGTCCTTTGAGTACTGGAAAGATGAAACTCATAGCCTGAAAAGGAAATTCGAGGGGTCGGATGAGAAAACTTGGAAGGAACAGATGAAGACTGCCCAGAGGCGTCTAGCAGACTGTCATCATCAAAACCAATGCCTGAGAATCCAAGTGACTGATCTGGAGAAACAACATGAGAGAGATGGTAAAATAATAGCTGAGTTAGAAGCTATTGTAGATGGATTCAAAAAGCAAGCAAGCGAGCTTCAGATAGTGCCCTTCGATGGGGGTTTGCAGTGGCGTTTCCGGTGGGAGCAAGCATAACAAAGGGTGAAGGCCAGAGACGTTGTCATCCGAGATTTCCTGGATCAAGTACAGAAGGCACCTCGCCACCTACACGGCCTGGCAAGGGAAGCGGGAGTAGTCCGACAAGGTATACAACCAGTGTCAGATGAAGGCAGAAGACTTGTCAACCTGCTAGAAGCTGTTCGGGGTCTAGAGGATTTAGTCCGAGTGTACCTTTGATTGTTTTTATGTCTCTTACAAGATAAAATATTTTTTTCTAAATAAAGATTATTTATAATAATGGACATTTTTTTGGATCAGTGCCTCTAAATTGCATACATCATGCATCACATATTTTGCATTTTATATTTCAATTTTTTCTATATTTTTACATTTATATTAACCAACAGAACATGTCTCAGACACCAAGCATACCTCCACAAGCTCAAGATACACATCATCCGCACAATACCCGAACAAAAACGAGACAAATGGAGGTCAGAATGGAAAAACTTGAAGAGAACATGGCCAAACTACAAAAAGAACTGGAAGATAGAATGACTCAGAACAGTAAAAGCACCCTAGAGTCCATCATGAAAAACCAGGAGTCTTTGGTCGACCAAATTGTGGCCAAGTTATCAGGTTTACAACAAGCTAGTGCAACAGGGACAGGTTCCTCTGAGGGGATAACCATATCACCAACCCCGCAAGTGGTTATCTCACCCGGAGTATTACCCGGGGACTTATCCGCTATTAAAGGGAAATCTGTATTACCCGGGAACTCATCCGCTACCAAAGCAAAAATTGCACCTACTGTTAAGATACAAACTTCTACGATCATCCCTGACAATCATCCGGATGATTATCATGTCCCAGATTTTGATGAGGAGGACAAAGCCAGAAAGATGGAGGAGAAGATAAAGATGTTAGAAGACCAACTGAAGATAGTCAAAGGGGATCATGACTATTATGGGGTAGATGCGATGGAGCTAAGCCTGGTTCCAGATTTGGTGCTCCCGCCAAAGTTTAAAATCCCTGAGTTCGAGAAGTTCGATGGAAACAGCTGCCCCTCAGCCCACATCACTATGTTCTGTCGGAAAATGACAGGATATGGGGGAAATGACCAACTCCTGATCCACTGTTTTCATGAGAGCCTATCCGGTTCAGCTATCCGGTGGTACAACCAGCTCAGCCGAACTCATGTCAAAACATGGAAAGACTTGGCCAAGTCTTTCTTAGAACAATATAAGCACATTAATGATATGAGACTAGACCGAGTTATGCTGCAGAATCTGGAGAAGAAGCACAATGAGAATTTCTGACAGTACGCACAGAGATGAAGGGATTTGTCTGTGCAAGTTCATCCACCCTTGGATGAAAAGGAAACGAGAAACTATTTGTACAGACCCTGAAGGCACCCTACTTCGGGCACCTAGTGGCAATTACATCGGGAAGCTTCTCAGATTTAGTCATGGCTGGTGAGATGATCGAATTAGCCATCAGGCAAGGAAAGATTGAGGGAGGAGATTCTAGTAAGAAGCCTCCCATGAGGAACAAGGAGCGAGAGATCAATAACGTCAGCACTTATAATGCTAACAAGGGAGTTACGATCTCGGGTCCAAATGCCACAACAGTTGTGCCAACCGGTACTTCCAGACAGAATAAAAGAGAACCGAGAAGGGAAAGAGAACCAATCGATACCATTCCCATGACATACAAAGAGCTATACCAACAGCTCTTTGACACTCACGCAGTGTCACCTTATCCTATGGATCCAATGAAGCCCCCTTATCCGAAATGGTATGACGAAAACGCTAACTGCGAATCTCATGGCGGTGTGCAGGGGCATTCTATTGAAAGTTGTCTCGCATTTAAGAGGCTAGTACAACGGATGCGGAACAAGAATTGGATTACTTTCGACTCTGGAGCACCAAACGTCGCCCAGAACCCCTTGCCCAATCATCAGGAGACAGGAATCAATGCAGTTACTACTGAAAGGGGCAGGAAAATCAAAACCAGTGTTTCGGAAATTAAAACTCCTTTAGCTTGGGTATGAAGCCAAATGGTAAAGGTGGGGCTTCTTGCACCCTATCCCGATGCAGCGAGAAATAAAGATGGTAATCGTTGTTGTTACCACAACAAAGAAGGGCATAAAGTGCAGGATTGCCCCGAATTCAAAATATTAGTCCAGCTCATGATGGA